GTTAGACTCAACAAGCGTCTAGAAAGCATCAATATCAATTCCAACATGTCAGTCTCTGCCATCACAATTTTTAAGGCTAAAGTCACCTGAACGAAATTTGCTGAACTATCATAACTTCTTTGAAATTCTTTGTGGCTACAGAGGCATTGTTTTCCTTCTTGTATTCAAACATCATTACATGCCGAATGTGTGTCTCATCGTGTGCCATCACTATAAGGGATTATAGTATACTAAACTTTACACATTATGTAGGCTACACTAACGTGACACTTAGGCAGTTTGTTTAACTATTATACGTGATGTAAATTTTTTTTTGGGGGGGTAATGAAAGTGTTCCAAATGGCGACATTAATTTCTTGACGACCTAATATATTAATGTACTATGTGTGTGCATAAACATTTAATAATCTCTCTGGTATTATGTCCTGCTTTGTGATCCAAATCACAAGATTCAATCTTACTCTTGTGTAGCACAAACTGTGATGCAGTTTTTATTATGGTACTAGTTGAACCCAGGTCCAACATTTTTTGGATTATTCATAATTTGTATATTTTGTAAAAATAAGTAATGTTCAGTTTGGTGATAATATTGCTGGATATAGACCATTTTAAGGAGTTAAACTTAAATTATGGTCTTTTTTTATTCTTGTTATAGTACAATGTTTCATTTCTAATTTGGAGGATAGAATTTGGATAGAAAAAATGACTATGTGAGTAGGCATATAGTGAAGAAAGGTATTGTGCACAACTGTTATCATGGTTAAGAATTGATAAATATGAGAAGTGTAGTACTAAACCACTTTTTATAAAAAATAGACTTTAACGTTATTCTGATGATTCAAGCAACTTGACCAAGTGTTTTGTTTTCTTAGATTGCTTCTACCTGACACGGCATGTTTGACACATGCTTGTGAAGTGTTGCACAGTTATTTTGTGGACCAATTCCTACTATGCAGAATAAATTGTTTAAACTAATTATACCCTGCCTGACACACATGTGCACACACACAATTTATACTGTAGAAACTGCAATTTAATTCATTGATTATGTGTGTTTTTTTCATTATTCTAAGTAATAAAAGATGCCACATTAGAGCAGCTTCAGCATATACATATAGATAAACTTCCATTTCTATGTCATTGTACTTTGTTTTTTACAGCAAGTGAACTGTCTTTCATAATGTATTTATGTTGAGATCTTTTTTTTTACAATGATAACAGGTAAAATTTATGCCTCTGCTAATTAAAAAGAACAATTAACTTCAGGAAAAAATATTAAGTTTCTATTGAAAATAAAACACTAAGCCTAGTTAATACTTAATGTTGGTACACATTTTATAAATTATCATTGGCCTAACTAGTTTGGTTGTATGGGTTAGCCTCAATCCAGAACTGTGAATGTATTATTTTTTTTTCAAGTTAAAGAATCTGTGATTTAAGTCTATACTGTATTGAGCTAGGCTTATCATGCTGTTAGGCTATTACCAGACCAATTTCAATTAGATAAACACATATCATAACCTTAGTAGAACATGCTCATCACATTCCTCCTAGCAATATGGTTCCTATAGATCCAACATTACAGTTTTATCAGGAATGACATACTCCTTCCTCTTCCAGCAGTGACAGGCACCTCCTCATTTTCTGCGATCCCACTTCAGTTTCATTTTGGGGATTCTAATCTTGAAATCGTGGTAGATGTAAAGTATCACATTTGAAAGTAACATGAAACTAAAATGAAATTCAAATAGATATCCATGCTATGGGTTCCCCCCCACACTGGTGGGCTGTAGGACAAAAAACAATTAATGCTGTAAGTATAAACCAAGATGTGATTGGCCTAAAAGCCCTAATAATGATTTTCTGAATTTTCTAATAGATTAAGGCATTACTTTTGGTTTCAAAATCACAAGTAGTTTAAAATTATAGTAAAGATGTAACAATTATTTTATTGAATTTAGATATTAATTTTAAAATGGATACAGTGGGATAGAGTAAAAACCATGAAGACTAATGTAAAAATTAATTTTCACTTGGCTTGCCAGTGTACATGATGTGCAAAATCTTTTTGGCACTTGTTTAACTATAGTATTAACTGTCATTAATTGTGTTTTATTCTAACAACTCGGGATTAACAGTTGGTTCCAAGTTTGCTCGAATTATTAATTTTCTGTATAAGGTACACAGAAAGAACTACTTGTATTAACTAGCTTTATTGTTTTTGTTTTTTTATTTTTCTTTGTTCCCTTTCAGTATTTCACTGGCAAGCAACAATCATGGGACCAGTAAGTATTTTTACACTTTCTATATCTTTTTCCCCTACCAGCACTGCCATTGAATGTAACAAGTATAGTTTTTTTCTATATGTGTTGTTTTGATCACCCATTAAAAATTTATCACATGTTGCTTTGGCTGGAAATTGGAAGTTGTAATGAAATGCAAATATTTATTGGGTGATAAAAAAAACAATGAAAAATCTGGACATTTACTTCTTGTTTCTTTAAAACAAAATTGAGATTGAAAGAGAAAAAGAGGAATATTGGATGGGAAATATAATTATTGTTTGTATAATAGTTGTAGTAGCATCTAAGCTATTTCCTTAAAGAAGATAAAACACTGGAATGAGTATAGTCAAACTTTGTGTCCTGCACTTACAGTGTGTTAAATATTACAGTCAAGAGAGTGGAAAAACAACTTTTTTTTTGTTATTTACATTCTTAATTAAAATGTCATTTGTGTATAGAATTATTATATACTGTGCCGTGTCATCCATATTGAGAAAACAGTATCATGTGGTTGTATTTATTCTAATAAACATAATAATTTTTGCAGATCATTAGGAGCATACATATGTCTTTTATCAAACTTTGTATTTTAGTAGTTTTTTCTCTCCTAGCCATTGTTATCTTTTATCAATTAAGGTATGTTTTGTGACAGAAGAGACAAATTAGCTCTAACTCTATGTTGTCCAGTTTGGTTCACCCTGTTCAGAGAGTAAAATTGTATCATTGAATTAAAAATTTTATAGAAAATAAACTTTAATTATTCTTCAACTCAAAGTTTTTATTTTCAAGTTGAAATTTATTCAGTTAAAAAAAAAATTACTTAATTAATTTTATACATACACATTAAAACAAATCTTCAAATGAAATCAGCACTGTTCATGAATTTCCTTAATTTATTTTATAATGATAATGAAATTCATTGCCATCTAGGAAGAAAGTCAAAATAGTTTTGTAAAAAACAGAGCAATTTTAACTTTCAATACGAGTGTAGTTTTGTAGATTTTACCCGTCACTGTTTCTCAACCTGAGTTGTCCAATTGTGATATAGTTGACTATATTTCAGCTTAGAGAAGTTATAGGCTAGTGATCTAAACATGTAATCTTTTTTTTTCCTGTAATTTTCAACTGTATAAGCCACAATAGCTTTCAGTTTGGTGAAGACTTGTAGAGATTGGAAAACAATGATAAAAGCTTAATTTGGTAACATGTTGCTAAAAAAAAGATTGTGAACAATTTATAATCCAATTACACTCCTTATTTTTTAAAAATCTTTCTTTATCATTTTATGCTTTATTTGGGTTATGATGGTGCCATATGATAAGAAAACTGTTTTATGCAGAATAAGATGAGGTAGACTTAAGATAATTTTACACTTGACTGTATCAAATTTCCTTTCACTGACAAAGCTGCTGTTTGTAAGGTGTTATTGTCCTAAGTAGATGCTTGAATGGGCAAAGAAAATCTCTGAAAAGGGGTGTAAGAAGAAGAAAAAAAAAGGTTTACAACTTATCACATGTATTAAATGAAACCTTCTAATTAGCAATTTAAAAAAAATGGCTTGCTTATGGATTAGTTATGGTAAGAAATGTTCTAAATTGTATTTTCAATCCAGTGAAATTGCATGTGGTGTTTTTTTTTTAAACAAAATGCAGATAAAATTTAGTTTTATAAAACAAGTTTTTTGGAAATTTTTACAATAATGTAAGCAAATGTAAAAATCAGTAATTAAAATATTCAACAAAGGTAAGCATATTTAGTTGGAGAATGTTTTTTTTGTTAGTCATTAGTATATAATAATTACCATAACTTATAAAAAAAAAACAAACAAAAAAAACAAGGTTTGAGAAATGCTCACTGTAAGTTTTTGTGACAAAGGAATATGAACAGTGATTAATTGTCAAATTCATAGGGAGATTGTTTTTCTCTGTGTAATGGCTTAGCAGTATGTTGTAGACCAGCAAAGATTAACCACTGTTATATGGTTTTCCAGTTTTGTATATGACAAACAAAAACTACTTAGGCAGCTTAAGCCGCATGACTCGTTGAAATGTTTGTGAGACAAGTGATGTGGAATCCTAATCACATGAGACACTCAAGTCTGCACAAGTATCTTACTAATGTTAAAATACATTTCGCTTTACATAATAAATTAATTGAACATATTCTTTTTGCATGGAAATGGGAAAAAAAATGCATATGAAATGTAGAGCTGCATCAGCACTGCTTGTATTCCTGCACTATCAAAATTCTGGTCTATTATTAGGCTACCTTGTGCTGTTATTTCAAAATATTTCATGAAAGAAAGTCATATAATTACAATACTTTAATTTTTTATATGTTTATTGTATTGATTGCATCTGTGTGGTTCCTTTATGAATGTCATAAAAGTGAAAAGTTAATTTTAAGAATTTAGTAAAATAGGAAAGTGGATGATGGAAGAAAAGTTTCCTTAATGTGAAAAGTTCTGATGATAATTCACTGAATTTCAGTTTGTTTGTTTTTTGCTTACAAGGGAAGACAGTTTACAAATGTTCTCTGTGATTGTTGGTAAATGAATATTGTATGGGTGGTCAACAGTACTTGTACTTTTGTTGGATATACAAGACTGTTTAGTTTAAGCATTATTATTTAATTTATTTTTTACTTAATATTTAATGATTGTTTAGTTTTTCCTGGCAGAAGTTTTGAAGGTTGATCTCTTTAAAAGCATTAGTTGTGACAAATTTTGTTATGTAACTCTGTATGAGTCTTGGCTTTACTAATATTGTTGACATCAAGTTACTTGAATCTTCAGTATTTTTTCATTACCTTAAGTGAGTATTGTTACATTATAGTGTCGCTTGCATAGTTTTTTGAAAGTTCTAGGCTTCAGTGAACAAATTGTATATATATAGGTAACAGAGCGAGAGCAAATGAAGTGAACGTAAAGTTCAGTCAGAGAAAATTTACTTAGTGAAAGAAAGTGTGAAGTTAGCCAGCGTGTGAGTGATTAACCATTATGGGCAATATTTTAAAATGAGTTTCACAGTTCAAGAGAGATAATTATTTAAAGTTCGAGATACAACTGTGGTAACCCACAAGGTAACGTAGGTGAATTTATTACAGATTTATTAGTAAGAAACAGAATAGAGAAAAATAATTTGTCAATTGGATTCTAAAGTAATTGAATCAGACTGTGTTTTGACAAGAAAAGAGAATAATTTAGAGTTTTACAGTGTTTTGCCCAGGTTTAGAAAAGGTTGAGTGAATTTCACTTATTTGTAAATTTTGGAGGAGGGAAAATTGAAAAACAATGAGTGATTTTTAACATGGTTAGAAAAATATATGAACAATAACAAATCAAGAAAAAGATTTAAAAACCAACTATTTATTTATGTTCTGCAATTCCATAAACACACACTGAATTGATAATGGTACTTTAATTATGACTAGAAAAAACCACATATGACTAGGTCACACTGACTATATGTATAAAATAATGCTGTTTTACATGTATTTGTGAAAAACTGAGTGATGACTAGAAAAACATCACATAACTATTGATTCACCAAACCTTTTGAAACATGCTATTCTTATGTTTTGGACTGAAATATTTTTCTACCTTTTCTGTCCTTACATTTGAGGATAGCCTCCTGATATGGAAACTCTTTCCAGTGACCCCCTTGTATTTTGAGAGTTAAAATGTTCTGTAAATTATAAGAAGATGATGTATTTCTTATTGATGTTTTAACATGGTTTTGGGCACTAAACCATCTCTCACAAGCAGCAGTGTGTACAAGAAAAACAAGAGCAATTTGTGCTAGCTTTAAAAGGTTTGGTAGATCACTGGCATGATGATAAGTTACCACATAATTCTAACATTTTATCAGTTGGGTATATAGAAGATTCCACAAGACTCTTTACAAGAGACAATTCAATCCTTGTTTGCTCTTGGTCAATATATTTATTGAATTCACAAATATCCCACTAAATTTATCAAATGATGGAGTAAGTATTATAACTTTTCAGCTGAGCCCAACAAAACTTTGATACGTCTGAAATTTCACTGTTTTCAGTACAGTATTAAACAGCTAATGAACACCTGTTATGATTTATTGCTTTTAATGTGAGGATTATTGTTCCAGTGGGTACAAAATCCAACAATAAAATTGTATAATTATCAGAAGACAAGATGTGAAAAGGTTAATGGTTGAAATTAAGATAAATAATTTGGAACTTTTAATACTTCAGTGAATGCAAAGGAAGAAAATTGTGGTATTCATTTTATTTATCATCTTTTCACTACATTGAGAATTTCTCTACTGTATTAGGGTAGAGGAAATAATATAAAAAATATAAAGTTTTACTAAAAAAAACTTTTACTAACTCAGGAAGTTCTAGAGTTATGCAAATGACACATGAAACTGTAAGATGAAAAGAAGTATTTTTATTCTTAACATGAAAATCATTTTTCACCCAAACTGATTAAGTAAAGGCTTTGGAAATTCACAGACAAATCTTTAATATAAGTATTTTATTACACTTGTGTGTGGTACAATGTTTACTAAAAGCTGGCTAAATTTTGTGAATTCAGAACTATAGTATGTATGAACTTAGTTTCTAGAGGGTTAAAATATGTGTAACAAGCTGCTGAAAGAATGCTTATTGATCAATTATTGTAGTGTGGTTTTCCCATAGATTTTGTGCTTGCAGCCAGCTTTTTTTAAAAATAATTTTGACAGTTGTTTACAACTAAGTGGTTTTAATATTCATAAATATGCCTTGATTATCAACTGACAAAGAAAGACAATGCCCTTAAATGGTCATGTCACTGGTTAAACACCAAAACCAATTGGCTTTTGTACAGTTACCTGCTGATAATTTCAAGCTTTAACAGTACCCATGGTTAGATAACTAACATTTTTTTACTTATGCAAGATATTGGTCTTGTGGAGTTATGAGGTTGTTTTATTGTGGTACCCGAGCTTTGGCTTAAGTGCACTATCCAGATTTAGGTTAATATTAGATGGCCTCTTCTTAATTTCATTTACAAAGACCTCTCTGAGAACAGTGGGATCATCCTGCCCAACATACAAATTTCTACTGAATTTAAGAGGCCTGCTCTTCATACATTTGAAAATATTGGAAGGAACTTCAGCTTGTGATATTTATTGTGGTTATTGTAGTTTATGATCATTTCTTCAAACTGATTTAATTTTACAGGTGAACTTGGACAACAATGATCAAACCTTTGTTATAACTGCTACAAGTTACAACCCCAATAATAATAATGTAAACCAAAATTATGTATTGTTTGTTGGTTTACATTATTATCATTGGGGTTGTAACTTGTAGCAGTTTTGCTCTTCCTTTGAACTAGTGTCTGCCCTTCCAAGTACTTTTTTTTTTACATCTGGCAATCTTTTAATGGCTTTGTCAGATGTGGAAGATGCATTAATCGACCATGCTTTCACAGCTCTTTAATTAACTTTTAAAACTTTGGTTAGTATCATGTGTGGTCTGTCTCCCTTTTCAACTCTTCTGACATTCTGAAGGAAATTATAATTTTTTTACATTTCATGACTTAACATTTATGTTTGGCAAATAATGTAATATATAGGCCTACAGATTCTTTAAATATCTGCTTTGTTTGTAATATGCCCTTTTCTACATATAGATTTTAATACAGTTTCACTTTTCATTTATTTTGATTTTTATTTCCTGCCCTTTTGTGTAAAGTTTAGGATTGACATTTTAACTGTGTGTAAATTTAGTACTTGAACATGTCATGTAATCAATTTTTTGTATTCTGTTAATCAACAGCCTGATAGTCCGTATCAAGGAGGAGTCTTTTTCCTGACTATACACTTTCCTACGGATTATCCCTTTAAACCACCTAAGGTAAGAAAAAGCTTTTTGTGTTAATTTTATGCTTAAAGATCAACCTTTGAACTCTGCCATAGTTTTATTGTACTCTTAAATTTTCACCTGTGTAACTTCAGTGATATGTTGATATGCTATCTTGTGTATCTCCTGCAAAATATTAACTTTCTTTTGTGTTGTGACCTAGTTCATTTACTTCAAGGATGTTTTGTTTTGTCCCCAATTATAACAAATTTACAAAGTTGATATCCAGAAGTTTTTCAAGGAGTTATCTTCTAGCAAGAGATTGATGAACTTTGTTATAGTAATATTTCTTCTTTTTTTTTTAACTCCCACCTCGGATCCTATCTTAGATCAATTGGACTTACTTAGCCATTCCATTCTTTCCGTTAATATCCTTAACTAAGTGAAATTATATTCCTGTTCTGCTGTAGACAGCCAGAAACCCACTTAATTCTAGCATTTTTGTCTAATATGGTCTTGTTTATCACTGTTTTTTTCCTAAACTTCTATACATCAAGTTTTTCATAGAAATATGTCACTAGTTTGATTTTTTTTTATCCTTATTGATTACTACTTTACAATCTACCACTCGATCAACTGTTGTTGTCTTTTTGTCAGTATTAATTTATTATTTGTAACTGCTTGGTAAGTGTTTCAATAATTGGAGTTGATAAAAAACAGATTGTATATTAAGTGAAGTCAGTGGGACAGTATTTACTGAAAATTTTTGCAATAAGCTAGTTGTGAAGCATTCACTCAAGAAAATCAACCAGTAATAAACAAATGCAGTTTCAGTGTGATAAAAGCTGTAAATGGTTGAAATTGCTTAAGATAAAAAGAATTCAAATGATCAGTGTTTTGGCCAGACAACCTTTATCAAGACCTCCTTTTTAAAAAACAACATTTTACACGATTATTGTCAATGAATCTGGAGGCTGAGGAAAGAAATTCATAATTAGAGATGCAGTATTTATTGGGTTAGACCAAATCTTACTAACATCAGTATTTCATTCAGCAGAATTGATGATGATGTCCTATCTGTTGTGTGAAGAACACATGCAAGTCCTCAAAAATTTTGAAAAGCCATGAAAGTTGTTATTGCTATATCTAGGCCTTATTAATGCTTGAAAAATACAAATTTGACTTCTTAAAGACAAGAAATTGTTAATTTTAATCATTCAGTATTTTTTATTCTCTTGAATTCTCAGAAAGTGATTTGAAAGCCACTTTAGCAATTCCCAAGTTATTGGATGATGAAATGGCCCAGATAAAGTTTAGAAAACATGATGTTTGGCAAGGCAAAACATAAAATTCTCATAATCTTTTTGAAGTTGAAGTGACTGAACTTTTAATACCATCTTCTAAAGTAAAAACAAAATCTAAAACTTTAAGTTAGGCTTCTCGAAATGTTTATCTGGAAGGGAAAGGTTGATTTCTTGTTCAATGAAAAATACTCTTATTGAATTTAGCCATAAAAAACAGGTTAGCCTTAATTGTCTGATTTTTTTCATTCATAAACAAAGAAGAAAATAAGTCCTATACTTTGGGCATCAATATCTTCAAGGTTAGATGTTGTGGTTGTCACAGTTAACTGGTCTGGAAAAAAACAGAAATCTCTTATTGAGGTCATTAAATTTCTTGGTTTTAGTACCCTTAAAAACAAAATAATAGAGGTTTGAAAACCTGATTTACATTTCTTGGTTTCTGGAGGTAGTGGTATCAGTGCCTGTCTTTTAATTGTTTAGATAAATGATTGATATTAGCAATCATCAGATGCTATGAGCAGTTATTTGAAATGGGTTTAAAATGATTCGGAAAAACTTTGTTATTATTATTATTACAGTTGAATTTGTGTTAAATCCCCTTGGGGGTAGTAGTGTACATATGCCTCTAGGGAAGAATATTTTGTTTCCCCATAACCCAACCCTATAACGTTAAATATGTAGAAGAATACACTAAATGCTAACTTAAGTAATTTTCCTTATTTTGTGTAATATTACAATGGGGTATGGGAGGCAGATACTACTTGTTCACTCATAGTGGGCTTAAATAATTTTCATGCTGGCCCTGTTTATAAGTGGGTCTTTCAAGAGTTTTAACTGTGTATCAGACAGGCTTTTGGGTCCAAAACATGTTAATTTTGTGTATCTTACAAAGAGGTTGATATGAAATGGGACTGAGTATCATATGGAACCTTGGGCACAAATGTTTTACTAGACTTTTCATGAGTTGAGTCAGGCAGAGCTGCCTTGGAGTGAAGTGATACTTAAGGCAAAACCAGTTAAGCATATGTGTCTTGGTTTGTTTAATGTGCCTGTAAATAATTGTAAACTGCAAAAGTAGTGAGGTTTTGTAGTGAAGGTATAAAAGTTGCAAAAAGTATGGGCCACAAAGTCTAGATAAATAAAACTTAATGTACCTGATGTTTCAACTTAAGCATTTATTTAAAGACTTAAGTCAAAATTTCTGGGTACATCTAAAAAGTAACATGAGTAAGAAATCCAGCTACAGTATGATAAATCTTAAATACAAATCATTTTGGATCCCAGTAAAGGTTATTTGATTGAAATTAGATTACACTGGCCTGCAGTGATTTTATTGTCTTGAAATTTTTACATGTTCTATAGTAATTCCTGTACACTGAATCTAAAAATATCCATTTTACTCTATCACGTGCAGATTTTACACCAAACGTCATAACACAATACAAATAGATTTCACACACAAAATCGGGATGAATGAGGATGCATATTCGTTTGACATCAATGTTCTTCCATTTTCTTTGGTTAGTTTGTATTTTTGTTAACAAACATAATAATAAAAAATGTTCATTTTGGTAAACAAAATAATAATTAAATCTAAGTAAGTTTTTTTTTCTTCCCAATTTCTAAAAAAATCCTTATGTGATAGAAAAAATGAATATTATTTTCGAAAACCTGCATAGCTTAATTATGGAAAATCTGTTATTAAAACCAAAACAACTTTTATGAAGTTTAAGTTCACAGGCTTGTGTTATTCAATTTTCTACACAGTGATTTTAACCATTCCTTTTTACCTAATGAGATCAACAATCTTGAGGCATGGTATATTTTTTGCTTTTTTTATTTATTAAGAGTCTTCAGTATTTGCTTCACTAGTAAAATGGCAGTTTTGGAATGAAAGAATCCCTCTAATCAAAATATTTATGCATAAGGAATATAATATGTAAAAGCTTGGGTAATGCATGTGATATAAAATTTAGTGTTATTTTACCAAGTTAAAATTTCCATCTCTAATCTATAGATGTGTTTATTATATCACATATGTGGTGTCTGTGACATCCATATCATCTGTATAGATCATTGCAGTCCTTGATTTTTGTATTATTAGCACTTTTAGGTGGAAGCCAACAAGGTTGATTTTATGTTTACCAAACTAGTGTTTTTTTTTTATTATATATTAACACCAACTTAGCCTTTTGTAGACCACAGGACATGTAGGAGAGAATTGTGATACTTAACCACAAAGTCAGAAGTGACCAGAATAAAGCATGGGTGCTCTGTACAATACATATCCAAGGTTGATGCTGCCACCTGACAAACTTATTACAATATTTAGTACACTCCAGTAAAATGTGCTATAGTAAAATAAGTCTTACGGTTCACAAATTTAAAAATATTGAGTCTTGAAGTTAAGTTTGACCACAAAAAGTTTGACTTGGGACTTGTTGTAGGTTTTGAAAAAATGTTGCCAATTTTGTAACTATAAAACATTACCAATTCAGTGTTTTGGAATTTTTATATCTCGTTTTTCTTTTATTATATTGTTTTCATTAACTTTGAGGCAATTGCTCTTTTTGCATATGTCATATTACTTAATTTTGTTAATAAATTCACAAAATATTATAAATAACAAAGCAATGTATACAGGGATTATAAAGTTAGTTGAGCTATTCTAACATCTCTAACTTGAAAAGTAATCAACAAAATAATATAAATATTTATTAGTTGAACTAATGAGATGATACGAATGGTGCCTTCAATGCCAAAAATAACTTCCAGCAGAGGTTTGTTGATCATGAAAGTTGTTTAGCCAAGACACCAACAGGGTTTGATGTGACCATTATTTCTGAGATACAGGACTGAACAATACTGTCTAATGTCCAGTATTTTTTATACTATTTTTCAAGCCTGTCAAGGAAGTAGGTGAATCATAATACACCAGTGACTCACATTGGCATCATAATCAAAAATCAGAATTTTTAATTTTATTTTTGCATTAACTCAGTTTTGACATTCCATCATATTTAAGCCATGGGTGACCAAAAGCTTATCCACGTTTGAATTTCCTATCATCAGTTTCAGACAGAGTCAGTTCAGAGTTTACAGAAATTATTGTAAATTTATATAGTTTAACGATTCACTGCCATCAGATTTGACAAAACCTGGAAGCAGTTGGTTCTGAAGTTTTGGAGAGATGGTCCAAAACAAATTGAACTTTTATGTTCTCCATAATTTGTGTATGTTATGTTTTCACAATGAACAAAATTTTAATGAATTTACATTATTATTTCAATTAAATTAGTTAATTTTCCTACTTTTTTGTTTTAAATAAAATTTTAACAGTAAAAACACTTCACTTTGATACTGTGCATAGCTTAAGACATTGGTCTGCTTCATTCATTTATCTGTGTATAAGTGTTTGCTATCCAAGTACTTCTAGTACCCGTACAAAACATATGCCATTTTTGTAAGTGACTAGTAAAGAAAGTGTTGTTAAGTAAAATATTTTGCTATCAGGTAAATAAAAATGTTGCATTTCATCTAAAATGAGCTCAAAGGACCTTGCTAAAAATAATTGAGAAAATATAAAATATTCTGTTTCAAAATACATAAATGCTACAATAAAATTTTAGTAGCAAACATTTACTCATATTTGCTGTATGATCATTTAACAAAAGGAAAGAGAAATGATAATACACATTATCTAAAATAGAAATAAAATTATTATTCAACTTTACTAAAAGAACAAAAAGTGCCTATTTAAATAAGTACATTTTTAAGAAAATATGTTTCTTCGGCCGAACAAGTGCACACTCACCTAGTGCTTTGATTTTCCTTGAAAACGTCTTTGTTATTGGTTCATAAGAAAGTTGATTAAAATTCTGTTGGTGCCAGCAATTATAAGAAAATTTATTATCAAACAAACTTTGTTGTTCTTGATAGGCCTACACTAAAAAAGGTTTAGTTTGGAATGAAAATTGGTAAGATTTTGGTTTAATTATAATTCAGCATAGGAGAAAGTTGGTAGATGCTTGAAGAAAATTTATCGAAAACACTGTCTTGCTATGAATACTTCTGTTTTTCATTCATATGATATATAATCTTGCTAAAGGTAAGTAAATATATATATATGTAAAAATACAATTTATTTTTATAATTATTTCGAAAGTATACGAGAAAAATTTGTAACTAGTAATTACTTTTCAAAGTTCTATCACGTGAATGGTAAAAGTTTCTTTCTCAAACTTTCTAATACAGGTTGCTTTCACAACACGAATTTATCACCCAAATATTAACAGCAATGGAAGTATTTGTTTGGATATTCTTCGTTCTCAGTGGTCTCCAGCACTTACTATATCAAAAGGTGAATACTCTCCAATGATGATTTTCTTTTCATTATTCTGTACAGAGATACGTTAAGTTTGCTTGAAAATCAGTGTTCAAAAGTTATGAACTTACACTTGTACAGTATTTAAGTATTACTTCATAAATCTTACTGTGAAATATGAAACTTTAAAAAGGGGGAATAGGGACTATCAAAAAGTACAGAATCAAAATGCAAAGATTATATTTTCAAGGCTGGAAATTGTGTTTACTTTATTTTCTGAAGCTACAAATCCCTATTTTGACTTCACTAAAATTGAAAAGTACTGTAGACATGGAGCTAGCTTTGTTTACTTTTTTTTAGAGCCTCTAGTTGAAGGCTTGAAAATATAATCTTTGCATTTTGACTTAACTTACTTCTGTACTTTTTTTGACAATCCACATTTCCCCTTTTATAAATTAACAATTTTTACTAATCTTGTCTCTAAAAGTTTTTTAATGTTATGTGATTTTCAACAGTTTACTGCTGCATTGGCTTTTTTTTTCCACCCAACCACCACACTGAATTTATTCAAAACAAAAAAATATACAACAAAGGATAAACAGATGTACTGGTATGCAACTACAACAAACAAAATGTAAAGTTGTTCTTAAAGGAACTTTTTGAAAGCACAGATTTAATGACTGGCTTCCATTAATGTCACAATATAATGTAACAAAAGATGAGCGGCAACAAAGTAATCTTATCCGAACAGAATATTTCTTCAACAGCTTGCTGTGCACAAATGGTTGTTAGAATATATGTAGTGGTAATAAATATTGACTACACACTCATGATTTCAGCTAAGTACAAAAAACAGTAGAAAGAATTAACACCATCATCTGAATAGGGAAATCTAACTATGGTAATCATCCACTGTTAAAAACTAGCTCACATGTAATCACAAGAATCCATGTAGAGACAGCAAATTTGAGTAACAATATGCACATGACAGTTCCAATTAATGCACTAGAAAATGCACACCAGATTTATTTTATGGCAGAAAGCAAAGAACTTAGAACATTTCACAGCATGACAAAATTAAGTTAGTTGAATTAAGTTCAAAACTACTCTCTCAGTTTTTTGCAAAATCTTTGTGCGATCCCACATTACAGTAGATATCACTTGTAATAATTTTATAGTAGAGTTATAAGGGATTTGTAGTTTGAACACACTGTCAGCAGTAGATCTCCAGCTTTGTTTGCTTACTTTTTTTTGCAATTTCTATTTGTATATTTTAAATTCTAAATATTTATTATCTTGTATTTTGGCTTTTTTAATGCACAGCACTAGGCAAATATATGCCTACAGTAAGACACAACCCCCTACTAAATGTGTATAAAATTTTACCAATAGAAAAGCAGCCTTTTCAAGTAAACCAAATAGATCTAAAGCATCTCTTTAAATAAAGTTTCGTGTCTTTAAAGTAATTATTTACTGAGCCTGGTGACTTTGTGTCTGAGATTTCGTGTAAACACGTGTTCAACCGGTGTTGAGTACAAAAGCAACCACTCAGAACATCACATCTATTATGTATTTATAATCATGTAAATCAACTTTGATTTGAAAAATAACTTTTAAATAGGTCATGGACACTTACAGCGTTTCATATAGTATATTGGTCTAGGTTTTGGTGCAAGATACCCAGCTGATTTTGCTGTAGGCTTGTGAAACAAAAATGCGAATAATAATAATAGTATGAACAAATGGGCAAATTTTGATTTTGTATAATAATCATCACATCACTTATTTTGCTTATTACGAATGTTTGGATGGTTTTGAGTGTTGTTTCAAAATTATTTTGCCCAAATGTTCTATTAGAGTTTTGAGCAAGTTCCAGTGTGATCCCTATTATGAACCACAATATAGTGGCTCATGATAATTATAATGCATACAAATACTGTTGGTTTTGAAAATCTTCTATAGGCCAAAAAAAAATTAAAAAATCTGGTTATGATTACCATATAAAATCAAGTAGAAAACTGCAAAAGTTTTGTTAGGAAAAATATGAATATATTATGACAGTGTTATTGTTGATTTGCAAGTAAGTTACCTCTAACCATTTGTTGTTTTTTGCTAGTTTTACTATCCATCTGTTCTTTGCTGTGTGATCCAAATCCAGATGATCCATTGGTACCAGAAATTGCTAAGATTTACAAAACGGATCGAGAAAAATATAATGAACTTGCACGAGAATGGACCAGGAAATATGCCATGTGACATTGTGGTGAATAATTAGCATTTCTTCCATATATATAATTTTTTTTTTATTTGGGGGGGGAAGGGTGAAAAAAGTTTCTTTACTTCCTACCTGTGGACATGACATAAAAACTAAAGTGCTGGAGTTTTTTAAAAGTTACCTTTATTAAGAATTGCCCATAATTAAAATAAATGTTCATTAACTGACTTTACATTATTTATTGTATAAATGCTTTGTTTAATTATTACTGTGGGGTAGAAAATTTCAGAAGTATTGGTCATGCCAGCTTGACTGTAGAATAAACAAGCCCACCAGAGGTCAGATTGTGCACCTGATTGAAATCATTCATACTGTAAGAAACAATGTACATTTTTTTTTTCTATTTGTGTTGGTGTGTAAATAAAAACTTTTTACATTCATCCAGAGTTGGTCTCCTTGAGGTTTTCATTGTGTGTGTGTGTATAATGATACAATAAGCTTTCTACTCATTATTTAGAAAGCTTATAAATATCTTGCTAATGGCTGGCACTTAGTTTAATCTCACTTGTGATTTTATCAATTAGAAAAAAATAAAGTTGTTACTTATTTTTAGTGGATTTTACTTCACTTTTTTCGTTATGATCAAAATTTGTCCAAAGGAGTAAGTTAACATGCAGTAAACAAGTTGATTAACAGCTTTTCAAGCATGTTAACTGATCTTAATAATGTAAAAGTTTGTCATTTAAAATTCACTTGATGGAAATTATGAATTTTACAAAAGAAGTACTATTGTCAATAAAAACAACTAAATTTTCAAAAGATTTTCAGCATAAAAAGAAGAAATACCTTCCATAAACCTCAATGAGTTATGTGGCCTTAGATTATGGCTTACAATATTTAAATGAATGTTATTTTTTAGACATAAATATGAAGATGTATAAGAAGCAATTAGATATAATCTAAAACAAAATTAGACAGAAATG